TGAACGACAGCACCTACCGGGAGACATCCTGGTCGAAGTGCTAACAAAACCCTCTATCCTAATGTCAAAGTCAAGTCCAAACCCCATGCTTGATCCGTCAAGCGATGAGGCAATACTCGGCGAATTCCTTGGGAAGTCTATGCTGGGCGATACGGCTCGTACTGCCGCTCTAGTTGGAAACAGGGAGAACTAGATGGATCCAATCTAGGTGTACCTCACAAACCAGGCTCCTCTAGTTGATGATACGAATATAGAACAAACCAACCGTAAAACCATGAGCTATCAAATGGTAGACGGTACCCTCTTTCGGGAATGGTGAAATGGGGTTCTTCTCAAGTGTATCACCCAGGCCGAAGGCATTAGTTTGCTCCACGACATCCAAGGAGGAATCTATGGGTCCCATGCCTCCCACGGAATGCTGGTTGGGAAAGTCTTTCGACAAGGTTTCTACTGGCCTACAGCACTCGAAGACGCCATTGAGTTGGTTAGAACCTGTGAAGCTTGTCAGTTTTTCAAACGATAGATTCACCAGCCTGCTCAAGCATTAAATACAATTCCCTTGTATTGGTCATTTGCCACATGGGGTATTGACATCCTGGGTCCTTTTCCAAGAGCCCAGGGTGGTTATAGATTTTTTTATTATAGCGATCGATACTTTCACAAAGTGGGTCGAAGCCAAGCCAGTTGGCCGGATAACCAAATAAAATACAGTCAAATTTTTGCGAAGCATTTTACTGTGTTTTGGCGTACCGCACCAAATACTCATGGATAATGGTACATAATTTACCAGCAAAAAATTTGAGAATTTTTGTGAAAGACATGCCACTAAGCATTATCGGTCCTCAGTCTACCACCCGATGATGAATGGTCAAGTAGAGCGTGCTAACGGCATACCCGATGACAAATGGTCAAGTAGAGCGTGCTAATGGCATAATTATGCAAGGGATCAAGACCCATATTTTCGATAGGTTTAGTGCCTACGATAAAAAATGGGTTGAAGAACTCCCCACAGTTTTATGGGCAGTGCGTACCACAGCTAACTGGGCCACAGGTGAAACACCATTTTTCCTTTTGTATGGGGCTGAAGCTGTCCTTCCCCCCGAAGTCCGACTAAACTTGCCCCGAGTAGCGATGTTTTTCATAGAAGAGCAAGCTAACCATCATTATACCGACCTAGAACTCCTCGAAGAGAAGCGTCATATAGTAGCATTCCAAGTAGAGAAATATCAGCAAGCCCTTCAAAAATATCATAGCCAGTGTGTACATGGCTAGGCGCTTAGCATCGATGATCCGGTCCTCAAACGAGACTAACACACAAAGGATAAAACTAAGTTGACACCCCCTTGGCAGGGTCCATACATTATAGTTGATATAGCCTGACCAGGCGCATACCGACTAGAAGAGATAGATGGGGATATGCTCCCAAACACATGGAACATGGATCAGGTACAACGCTTTTATGCACAATAAAATGTGTTCCTAGTGTTTTGTTTCTTAGCATATTACCCAGATAAGTATATTATTTCTGATTTAATTCTATTTCTCTATAAGTAGTAATTTTCACCGAGCATACACACTTGAGGGCTGGGGCTGCTGCTGTTCAATTCCAATATTTTTTCTCGACTAGTCTTCTACTCTTTATTTGAATAAGTTACTCATATACAAATAAAGAGTAGGGGGCTATCATACTACTATTCACTAGTCTACAAAAATTCTCAATCATGCTAAGCCTAAATCATGCAAACGGCATCGACTTATAGTACACAAACCGCTAGAGTTTAGCTACTATAAGTTTAACTGTTCGCTTGATGATAGGTCAAAATAGCAAAAACGGGAAGAATTATGTAAGACTAATAAAGGTAGTGCGGTATATTACATCTCACAGTGTTGCAGGGACAGGTAAATGTTTCATTCCTTTTCTTCCTCATCACTAATCGATAGGTTTAGCTTCTCTACAAATGGCCCGAGTGCTGCCTGGTTTTCCTCAAAAAACTCTCTGGCCTTGTCTCCATCATAATTGTAGCCTTGGGAAATCAGGCCTACATCAAGACCAGGCAAGTAGCTCTTGATGATGCTGACAGCATGCCTAGCCAAAGTGAGAGCTCCTTCGACTAGCTTTGCTTCAACATCTATGTGACGCTGCTCAGAGACCTCAAGCTTGCACCGTAGCTCTTCGATCTCCTGCTCTAGTGTCGCCTTCTTGCCCTCTAGGCGCCTAGTGTAGGCAACATGATCTACAAGCACGGCAAGGCTTAAGACAAATTCCACAGCAAAGGTACAGATTTACATAAGCAAGTCATTTACATACCCTCATTTGCATCCTGAAGAGTTTTCACCTCCTCATCCAGCTAAGCCACCACTACCTTGTAATGCTTGGCCTTGTCACTAGCTCCTTTTCCACAAGCATTGATATGTCTTCATAGCCTCGATAAGTGGACTCATCTGGGAAGGGTCATCTTCGGGAGTCACCTCCTTGCTCCTTGGAACATTGACCTAAGTCAACAGCTCTAGGTTAGGACTATCCGGGGTCAAGGTTGCATTAGAATTGTCACCTCCGGCTAACACGCTCAGGGCTTCCTCTAATCTAGAATCATTATCAAAAGCACATACATCAAGAGGATACTTGGGATAAGCGCATAACCACACAATTCAGTTCACTCATGACTTAAAGGGTACGGAGCATTTAAGCTTTGGCACCCACCTAGTTGTCGGGTTGCTGGTTGTCGGGGTTGACACCTCTCCTAAAGACAAACCTCCCATGTACTTTTGATGTTATCCAAATAAGAGAATGTCTCGAATAGCCTACCAAAGACGATCATAGTGGATACTTGGTCATGTTCACGAGGCAGGTCTCAGATCAAGCGCTCTTCACTAGCGCCAGCTTGAGTCGCCATAGCCTTCGCACCCTTCCCAAATGGAGGGCTCTTGGATTTGCTCCTAGCCCTCATGCTCTCTAGAAAGGGACACATTGTTGGGCTCCCCTTGCGATCACAACTTCCTTTTCTCCCCTTGAGGGATTGATCGGGCGGCTGGTGTCTTCCTATGTTTTGATGGCCCCCGTGCCATATCCTCCTTGGCCTTCTTCCCTAGGTCGGCTTCGACCTGAGGGCGGAGGTCCTTGTGGGGGGGCTTGCTCCTGTGGCGGCCTCTCCCCGATCACTGCCCGCTCTTGGGTAGCCTTCTCTCTAACCTCTGCCTGTTCCTGGGCTAGTTCATCCATGGCCCCAATAGGCTCAGAGGCTAGGGCTTGGGGAGCACCCAAGGCATCCTCTTCATCATTGCTTAGCTCGACGCTTCCTAGCATAATCCCGATATCGGGGAGCGCCTGACAACACAAGAAGATGAGTGAATCTGATTGTTTGTAGAAGCAAGTCTAAAGAGACCAAAGCCATTCACCCTAGGTGGCGGGTTCTTAGCGTTGTATGGTTGTGAAACACTGTCCCAGTTGGCCCCATCCATGCCAAGGATATACTTCACCCAATGAGTGATCTCTTCTTCTGACACTTCTAGAAAAACAATTCATGGTTAAACCCAGACAATTGAAGGGGTAATATTTCTGAATAAGAACGAAGTCGGGATAGGATCTAACCTACTTTTGACTCTCTATTTGGATCTATGACCCCTGAATATGTGTAGGCTAGACTCCTACGCTTCAAGGGAATGATCCTCCATTTAGGAAAGGTCTTGACTATGTGTGCGGTAGTCAATCTGGCTTTTCGGAGTGCCCGAACACGCTCAATGTGACCTTGCATCTTCTTAGTCATGATGAGAGTTGAATAACAAGCTTCACTAGTCATAGGCATCCTAGAATTGGCCTTGATGACATTCTTCTCCCGAAGATCAATGTAAAACAATTTCTCTCTAATGCCCTTCTAGGAGGACTTAACCAAGAATACAATGTATTCTCCTTTCTTCCTAAGGGCGAAACCAAACGACCCGACGAACAGATTGGTGCCATGGTACATGCCTGAGTAAAAGTAGCGCCATAAGTCAAGATAGGGTTTGACCCCAAGCCATGCCTCACACAGAATGGTAAAAATCTAAGCATAGCGATGGCATTGGGTAGCATCTAAACCACCTCGATCTTATAATGCCTATGACTCGCTCTAGAAATTTGGACGGAGGCACTCCAAATCCACACTCGTAATGAGCAGTGAAAGTGGTGATTTGGAAGGTGTCTAAGGTCAGGTGGTTCTCACCTTGGGTTATAGTCCACACATAGCCTTCTAGAAGAAGACCACACACCCTCAGTGTCTCTAGATTCGCCTTTGATGCCATGGTGGTGGTCCCGTACTCGTTCAACTAGACGACCACCACCGGCACCACCGGCTCTGCTAGGTCCTCGTGTTCCTCCTTCGGTTGGGCCAGGGTGTAGGGCTCCGACGTGGTGGCCTCCTCACGGCAAGCGGTGGCATCGTGATTAGACCTTGAGGCCATGGCAGCAGCAATAGGGAGGAGTTGAGGGCAAGCGAAAAGGCAAAAGGGCAAAAGGTAGGGATTGGAAATGCTCAACGGGAGAATAGGCACAGTGGTTGCCACCGAAGCGAGGTGAGGGGTCAAATGGGCTGCCTGCCGTGCACAATCCCCCAAAAATTGCTCAGCAGCCATAATGTGCTCCTAGACTGCTGCGCCATCAGTTATTCATAAGGAAAACTATCACTTTTTTATTATTAGAATGAAATTGGGGATTCGGTGCCCTATGAATAATCTATGTTGAAGATATTTTGCGCCTAGGTTATGAGTAAAGCTCCAACCCAACTAAAGCAGCCTGATTGGTCTGTAACCCAGGGTTGTGAGTAAACTTTGTAACTAGAACAACATTACTAGAGTTATCCTGACTTTGGACTATGTCCACGTGTAAAGCGTGTCACAGCTCTGCTTGCGGCGACTCAAGCACGGAATAGTTTGGAAAATGCGGCTAAAAACAAAATAACAATCCATCTCGGGAACTAGTCATTTCATTAATATAACTCATTAACATGGGTTTACAAATGATTAAACTAGGACCCTAATCTAAGATAACTGGAGAAGGCACCACCTCCTATTGTCACCAAGCTCTTTAGGGAACTCGCTGATGAGATGGGAGCAACCAATCTCCTCGACGGTGACCCACTGCCCACGGGTTCGTCCTTCACCTCCTCCTCCTCGGTGTCCTCCTCCTCCTCGGTGACCACTTCCTCACTATCGCTACTGAGGATCACCAGGCCGTCATCTCCTGGGATGCAGATGGCCCCGTGATTCAGCTCGACCAACAGCCTCCTCGCAATCTCCTCATCATGGCTCATGTCCGGCAAGCTAGCGGCGTAGGGAGCGGAGGGGCCGGGGATTCGAGGCGGCGAGAGGCAATGGAGGTGGTGGGGGTGGTGGAGGTGACTAGGACAACAGAGGCGCCACCCACCGGCGACGTCGAGCCTTCTAGGTGATCCTCATCGAGAGCTCGATCACCACCTCCGGTGCTGATGGCACCAACTGAGTCGACAGCCTAGCCGGGGACACTGGTGGAGCACTCTCATCAACCCTAGCATCCCCTTACGGGATCACTAGGGCTAGGGGCATGGGAAGCATAGCCAATGGCGACATCATGGCCAGCGCTAGGGCTCCAAAGGATATTGGGGATGAAGACGCAGGAGCAGACGGTGGAGGCGATGACATACTGCTTGACGATGATGCCGTGGCCGATTGGCCGGGCGACTATGCGAGCAGCAGGCATGACACTTTGTGGGGACATTTGTGGCTAGCGGTTTTCTTCCTCATCTTTGCTATGAGATTTGGGAATCGAGGTTGCAAATTCATCACGAGCGTGCCTGATTAAATAGGACCAAGCCGTGTTCCTAGGAATCTCAACAGTCGTCGAATTAAAAAGGGATTAAATCTCCACCACGTGCACTCATGGGAAACAAAACCAACGTAGCGCTTCGACTGACAAACGACTACATGCCCCCTGGCTTGCATGTGAAACGGGATTGACAAGACAAGATGACCTAGGGATGGCATTGGATCAAGCTCATCTCCCAACAGTGCACCTTTATCAGCTTGCATGGGATCGGGATCAAAGTCGCCATTGGTAAAATGGGCTACCGCTTAGTACCTAAACAGCAAACCACCCGACTAGGCCAAACCCAACTACACGCAGACGATCAAGTTGTGTTTGACAGACAAGCTTGGGGGCTTATGTCAATGCCATACCCCCGGGTACCCCGACTTTCATATTGCTGACTACCAACTTCGGATCAGAGATGACCCGAGGGCCCACGACGACCCTATTCAAGGAAGGATATCTCTAGATTGCGCCAAGACTCTGACTAGGGCATAACTCCTTAGCTTGTAGGGCAAGTTGATCTCGGATATAAATAGCTAGCAATATCCCCCATTGTATCCATCGACTCTCTCATAGGCATAACTACATTGTAACAACAATCTCGCTGAATTCAAGCAATACAAGAGTAGCAACTAGACGTATGGCTTTTACTCGCTTCCTGGGGGCCTGAACCAGTATAAATCTCATCTCCATCTGTGATTGTTCTTCGTACCAAGCGGGGTTCCCCATGTACCAAATATCTACTGGTAAAAAACACCGACATTTGTGTATTCCCTTAGGTATGTGCCCACTAGCATTTTGCAGGAAAGAATGAATATAAGTTATGACTGTTCAAGGTTTGGTACAAACCTACAAACCCCAACCCAAACCACCACTACAGCTGTGGAAGTGGACGAACAAATCGATAGGCTATGAGCAACATCAAATACAACCTAGCATTGAGCCTTCCCAAGACTTAAGCTAAGGTGCTGATGAGAAATAGGAAGCAGCCCACCTCGTATTAGCCAGAATATGCCTGCTTTCATCACCTTAGAAAAGACCAGCTCGCACATCGACGACAAGGACTAGGATGACAAATGCCACTACATCATTGCATGCATCGTCGTATCAGCAAACATCAGTAATCAATGGAGGTCTATTGATGGTGTCTCATAAGGCCACGACCATGGTCGAAAGATAACATCCCTAAGTCATTGAGATGAAGCTTTCATGCAAGTACCAATGAGGTTCCTTCTTTGATCATAAAGGCTGCTGGCGAATCATGGAGAAACAAAGAAGAACTCTCCACCATGCCATTAGAGGACAAAGATAATCAAGGAGGAACTTGAGTTCGCATCCCCAAACAACACTAACCTATCAACCAAGAATCAAGAAAAATCAAGAAGGGTTGATGGGAGAAGAACATGCAACTGTCCGAATGGTACAAAGAAAAGCTTAATACAAGGAAAGGTCCTGCTCAACTGACCACGAGCTCTCGCTAATAGGTAAATCAAATAAGCCTCCTTTAGGTATGTTTGTCACTAATTATTTCAATAAAAAGAAGGAAAACATAAGGTATATCCAACCAAGCATTATGCAATATGGAATTACATTTGCAGGAGAATTCCATCATCCAAACTTGATTTTGCAAAATTCAAGTGTGGAGGATGGAGTTCTTTAAAAACATCTCATGCCATGTTGCTAATTTGTCCTGGTTATCTTTACCTTTATGAGGTGCTCGACTTGCTAAATCTCTAAGAAATAAAAATTTAAATGCTCCTTTGGTTCACCATACATATTCTTGTTTTTACTTGAATGAATCTCTTTAGTCTTTTAAGCTTCCTTGTTCTATTACAAGTATGCTTTGGAATATTATTCGAACATAATCATTGAATCAAAATATACTTGTATAGAATTTGGTTGTATATATCGACTAGCCCTTGTAGGAAAATATTCAAATTTTGTTGGGAATGTTTGGAGATCATTCGTAGAAACTAATCAAAGTCTGAGGTATTCTTCAAAACAATTTGACACATCTTTGCCTTAACCTTGTTGAAAATTTAGTGGTGAACAATAAGGACACATTATTTAAAACATGGGATAAGGATTCTATGCTAATCAAAATGTTAAGACCAACTCTGTTCTAGCATAAAGGATGACCTTTAGCTCTATGACAACACTATCCTTGCTTTGAATTATTTGTATATTCCTTTGGGTATGTGTTGTCTACTAGTCTTTTGCAGGAATGAAACAAGGAGTGGAGCAGAAGGTCCAAATAAAGTGCTAAGATCCACAAAAGAAAAGACAAAAGGATGGCATAACAAAAGAATGAGAATGATGGAGTGTGATGTAGGAGACAAGATGCTCATGAACAAGTTAGTCAAGCAAGGAAGGCTTCAAACAGAAGGAAAGGACCACCACAAGTCACCTACCCTTCATCACATGGTGCCATCATACTCCAATGATGAAGGTAACATCTTAAGGTAAGTGGTCATTATTTAAAAAGCTTCCCTTTGATCTTAGTATTCACATAAATAAAGAAACAAACATGTTTGAGTTACAACTTTGCTTGATTCAACCTAATTAACTCAACATGTCTTGTTCATTAATTTTGTGCATAACACCATTTTCTTGATCTCATAGTCTTAACCAAGCAAGCTAAAATGTTGCATATCTTAGCTTTGAAAGATGATAGTCATAATCGTGTAAAGTTTGATACATTATGTAAAGATGGACAATCCTTCCATAGGTTAAGCAACTCAATCATTTTTGTCAAATGTATTCAAATGCCACATTCATCCTCATCCTTCTAATCTTATCACCCATGTTATAAGAATGAGCAATGCACATAACATCAACCTTGTCATGATTCAATGTGCCTAAGGCTAGAGAAGAATAAATAAATTTTTGGTTCTGTTGGTGTTTTCCCACCAACAGAGCCCATACACTTTGATCTCTACCTTGTCTTTATGAGCATAACACACTTCGAGCAAAGTGTGGGGGAGTCAATCCCCCAATTTCTACAAGTGAAAGTTCTGAACCAGCAATAATGATGCACACAAGACATCACCAACTTCTACTACTATGCTCGATTTCGAAGCACTGAACAAAGAGGAAGAAGAAGTTAAGAAGGATGAACCTGTCAAACAAAAATCAAACTCAAAACCAATACAGGTTTGGCAGAAGAAGGTGGCACTACCATTGGAAGTGCCACTACTAGAGCAAACCAAGGTACTCGATCAATGAACTTCGCAAGGAGTATTGTTCAAAGGACTTAAAACACCGAACCCTCGCCGAAAGGTAATTCGGTAGTTATCCATGTTTATTTATTGCATTTAACATTTTTATTCATGTCTTGCATCTAAAATTGAAAATAATATTTGCATAATCATTAGATACATAACTTTTAAACTTTAGCATGTTTAATTCTGCATTTCATTTAGAAAATTTGTATGCATGGCATATATAAAAAGAAAATTAAAAGTTGTAACTCTGCATAATAAAATTTAACTCAGTCTCATTCTAAGTTTTGCATCAAGTGAATTGTTAAGCCTCATATGAGCAACCTTGTGGTGAGTAACAACCCATATGAATGTTCATTGTGGTGGCAATAAAAAAATCATAAATCTTATAAAACAAAATAAATTAAAAGCCAGCTTGGGGTCCAGATTTGATGTTGCCATGAATTCATGGGCCCATAGAACTCCTGGTGCCCCCTATAAAAGGACCCCCCCTACCTCCTCCAAAGGCCATCAAGCCATCCTCTTCCTTAGGATCAGATGTCAGCAATCAAGAGAAGGATAGTCCTCCATGTTAGGATCTAGCCTTTGTAAAATAAAAATAGTGAGATAAAGAGTGAGGGAAGAGTTTGGAGGAAGTGTTGGTCTGTCAGTGCTCTCTCTATGGCTTGAACCTTTGCGGAATCAAGTTCTAGTTGAGCTTGTTTTTGAGATATATCTGGTAATCAACTTCTGATTCAAGTAAATATTATGCTTATATTGTTCATCAGGTTTGCGACTCTTTTGAGTGCTTCAATCTATAGAAGCTCTAGGTTAAAGTAGTAATTGTTAAGTGTAAGCGTGGTGCTTAGACTTCGATTACTCGTGGATGCACCCTGCATTCTAAATCGGTGGTAGACCGTGATAGTGACACTTGTTGAGTCCTTTGTAGTCCACCTCTCGTCTGTAGGCCAAGTAGGACGTGGTTGCAACGGAAAGCATTCTTTATTGGTGTCTTTCCTTAGTAATGTCCCCAGTTGAATAGTAGAAGACATAGCTTACCCAGGTTAGAAGAACAAAGTCATTGTTGGTATTTATGAGTGCAAACTAAATTATAAGATTCCATATAGAACACCATTGTAGCATTTCACCAGGAGTATTCTAGGTATAGTTATTTATATTTTACCAAAGAAAAACAATGGAACAAAGATTATAATAACAAAGGAGTATTTACTAACATACCAGCATAACTAGAGCAGGGAGGTAATAA